AACACGTTTTGTGCTTGCATTTCGTTAGGAATGGTTACTAAATGACTGAGATTCAGCCAAATGCAACATATTTGTGTTTTTGCCCCAGCCTGGACTAAGCGCTACTCGCAGTCAGCCGCCACCCCTTCGGTCATATCTCCTTACCAATTTGTTCTCCAGTATCGTTGTTTCTTGTCTAATGGTGGCGGCCATACATTAGTGTCGCGTTGTCCATGTAATTAGTAGCTGCTGAAATTTGGCCAATGGCATTCGCAAGTCGTTTACTTGAATTTCAATGCGAGGACGAGATAAAGGCATGTACATTTCAGATGCGTATTGGTATATGAATATGAATAATAACAACGTGAACTGTATAACTGCTTTAATGGCTTATTTCATGACAACTGGAGACACTCCAGTCAACACAGTCTAAACAAGTTTATAAGGTCACGTTCACGTTTGTTAATGTGTACGCTCGCTTTCCCAAGCTTGGGTTGGTTTGTTTCTACTGGTCATTTTGTGCCATAGTTAACGACGACCGTACCGAAGAGAATTAGAGCCGAATTACACTCCATGCTACTGTTAAGAGAAAAATTGACCACTGCTAGTCTAGCGCGAATAAAACAGCGCATGGAGAATACCCCTGATGAACATGAGCAAATAATCGAAATAGTTGGGAAGGATGTTAAATGATTTCCAGCGGCTAAGTATACAGTGTCCAAGTGGACATGGCTTTGTTCGGTCTAGCATAAGGAATGTATTTAGTGAAGGCTACTGAGAGCTAAGCCACAGAAGGACTTTTATCTACAGCTGATTCCCGAATTGCTATATGTGGTCTTGTATGTTGACATCAAGTGATACTGTAAAACTCTATCCAGCGAATCTAATCACTGTGGTACCAAAGCAGTAAAATGACTTGAAATCGCCAACTGCGTACATTAGCGGTAATTAAAACTGTATATGGCAAGCATTAGAGCCAGGAGTAAAGCCGATATTAGTCGAGTTGTTATTAGAATTAATGTGGGCGTCCAGAAAATCTGTGTCCCTAGCGAATGTCAAATGCTCGGGCCGAGTAACATTGTGAAAAACATAATAGAGGCAAGGTTGGATTAATAATGACATTTATTTACGCACAAATACCAGTCTATTATAAAAATTAACAGCAGACTTAAAGCCGGTAACAGACGGAGGCAAGCAACGCCAACGGTTTAATTTGTTTGCATTTCATAACCCAATTAATGAAATCTAATAGACTTATCAGAAGACGAACGTAAGGAGAGGACACTGTTATTTAGTGCATACTCGTCAGCCATGTACATGCAAGTAACAGGGGCTCTTATGATATTTATGTTAGAAATGGAATAGAGTGAATGAAGTAAAGGTTTAAATGAGTGTTAATTGCCACGACTGATAAGCAAACGTAATTACCGAGAATCCCTAGGAAGTTATATTGTAGAGATTTCTTTAGTTTACACCCTAGTGGTTAAAGTTCCCAAACAGACAGTTTTACCTCAATATTCGGTCCAGTCTTAAATTTTGTACAAAAGTACAGCGGCGTATTTAAATGGTCAACGGACATGGTTGGCAGCATCCGGTTTCCGATTCACCTGTCACTGCGGCCTCCAACGGGATAGCCACAGCACGCCTGCGTTTATAGATCGACGATGAATGGTTTGTGCTCCACAACCCACAGCTCCATCCACACACCCCATTTCCAGGGTAAACATGAGGGAATAAGACCGGGAGACATTGATGGAAGCCCCGTTTCATCAAAGGAGGCGGCCCATACTACTTCAGCAGGCGCTGCAGTAGCACTCCTATCTAGCTAAATTGGGAATTATGCGTATCAGACGTACACAAGGCATTGGTTGAGCCGTAACCCGCTCCATTCTGGATGGAACCACTCTTTGATCTTAGCACGTCCACGAGGACAGTGCACCCCGTCTACCCCAGCAAAGTTTCACAGTCCCCTGGAGACAGTAGCGGAGGTCTGGGCTGTTAGACAGGTAAGCGCCTTGTCAATATCCACATCAAACGCAGCTACACGGGAGATTTTAAAAAACCAACATAAAATTTGCACAATGGAACAGTGGAACAATATTTTACAACGGGTAACAATGCCTAATAGATGAAACTTAAATGCAAATATTATCTAAAAAGAGACCATATAAATTTCGTATTGGCCAAGCGATAGAGTCTGTGTTAAGATGAATGATTATGGGATTGTGATAGTACAGGCAAAATCAAATAAAGAGTGGTAATAATTAATACTCATGACAAGTACCAAGCAGATGGCCCACCACTCTGCACAAATTTACGTGCGTCCCTGTGGGTCATAAATCCCAAGTGGCTAGTTAGCCAGGATAAATCCAGAATATCCGTTAAAGTAACAAGGTGTAGGGTGTTCAATTCGATATCTTATCGTTTAATGGAAATAACTAAGGTGGGGGGCACAGATAACGGAGTTTGGAATGGTGTTCCAGGGTTGAAAGACCAGGAGAAAGACGTAATTTCATCGTCAATCTATGTTGTGTCGGTTGTGTCGCTGGCTCCGTTGGTGTTCGGACTGAGTTTTAGTAGGTGGCGGTATACGTTACCTGGGTCACTCGGTATCTGGTAGAGCTGGCCGTCGGTAGCGTCCACTGAACACTCCGAGTGATTTAAGTAGCTACTGGGAAGGAAAGTTGCGCAATTCCTCAATTCCAGACAAATTGTGTTACTCTACATAACGGAGTTTCGAGAGCTGCAAAGTCACGCTTTAGCCAAGGATGACAAGACTGGATTGTGTATTTGACGTGGGGACGCACGTAGACATTGAGCATCAGAGAGAAGATGAATGTGTCCAGACTCCTGAATACCCTTCGCAAGAGACGAACATGCTGGTTACCACTTTTGAAGCCGGTTTTGACTGTCTGGAACAACCGGGGTCATCCTGTACCAGCACACCGAGGTCACGTTCCTGAGAATTTGTCTGCAGATCGTGCACCCAAAGTTTCTAGTGGTAGGTGTGTCGGCGGATGGGGACAACGTGGTACTTGTCCACATTGGATGGCAGTACATTCCTCATCGACCAATACCAGGTCTCATCAAGGTCACGCTGGAGGTTCTCGTGGTCGTCCATTCGCTTGATCGCCCGCCAACGTTTGACGTTATCCGTTAAAAGTAAAAATCTTGAGGCGATTGTTCTCGCTAGATCGTTATTGAAAACTAAGATCAAGAGAGATCCAAGTAGCGATCCCCGCGGAAAGTCTCACTTCACTCGAATCTGGTTGGAGAGAGATGTTCGGACTCCAACCTCCATTTGCCGTTCGCGAAGAAAGTTGCTAATCCATCATAGTACTGGATCTCCGATACCGTAGAGCTGCAATTTCTGCAGGAGGATTCGGTGATCCGCGTGATTGAATACTTTCGAAAATTCCATGTAAACGACATCGGTTCCAGTCCCCTCGTCGACCGTTTTGGAATATGAGGCAAAATAACAAAACTGAACAGATAAAGTAAAGTGGAATACTTTGTATCTGAGGTCGGAAGATATGGTTCAAATATAAGTTGGTGTCGCCCAATTGCGTTGAAGAAGCGTGATGTATACAACACCAATCTCAGTCTGAGGCACCATATGAATAGTAAAGAAAATAAACATGAAATCTGGAGAGTCAACGTGCGGCAGAATGACACAACTGAGCATATCGACAAAATGAATGAATTTTGATCTATTGTCTAAGTGTTCATAGGCAGTTCTAAGTGTAAATCATGAAATATCAACCGAGCATAAATTCTATAAATGAGTATCACAAAGTAAACCGAAATATTTGCCGCTTTTTCAACCTCTCGATGCACCAGTGTTCTTCACGAATACAAACCTATGTTCGGGTCCTAAAGAAAATAAAACGAAACTAGTTCTGGGTCAAAATATCATATGTAGGTGTGCATGCAACCCGCATATGTGTGTCAGCATAACTGGTATCAAATACCATCGATGCTGTCTTTGAAAGCGTTATTCAGGGACCGCGATATCTCAATCATAGTAATCGCATTTCGAACGATCAAGTTCCCGTAACTCGCAAACTTGAACTTTACAGTGCGCAGGACATTCTGACAGCCCTTGAAAGTCTGTTCTGAAACTTAGAGTGGTGGAGTAGAAGCAGCACTCTGGTTTTCGTAGTGAAATTCGGAAGCGCGACTTTTGACTTCTTGTTGCGTATTGAGTACCTCGTTTCCATGACGCTACTCTGAACCCTCTCGAGCGCATGCCGGTTAAATTTTCGCAGATCCGATTGAACTGGTGGACGGTATTCCATACTTAGTAAAATCCATGCTTTATATAACAAAAAACTTGAGATTTGGTGACATAAACGGATGACATATTCATTCAATGGTTTGCATGACCCGCAAAAATTGCGAGTCACAGGGTCAAAACAAGTAAAAGATAGAGGAATATCGCACATCGAAGCCGTAGTGCCCCGCATTAGGATAAATGTGTATTGCGGTAATAAACTGTACAGCGGTACTTGGCACTTGTTCGACAGGATATTTACTTGTTATCTGGTACAGCAGTCTTCAAAGTTCCAATAGTTTCTACATTATCATCAAGGTGTCCAACGCTTAGTCTTACAGTTACTTTTATTCCACAGTTGTCATAAGAACATCAATGAAAATCGTGTTCACTGTTCAACGTGGTAACCTATGAAGGCCGATCCTCGCCCGAGATGATCTCTGTAACGCTCACAGTACATAACACTTGCTTGTTGGGAGTTAAACCTAAAAGTTCTTTTATACTACTTGGGCGTCCAGCATACAACCACACACCTTTTGTAATCACTCTAGTGTTCGTGTGCAGCGTTTTTAGTGCACCCTCATTTGGGCAATTAATTTCGCAAATCGCCATTAAAATGAGGCAGATCAATTTGAATACTAGTGTGAACTCTGTTTTCCTTCCACTGAAATCTAGGATACCTCTCCGAAATGATAATACTCGCCAGGTCACAGATGACAGTTGAGAAACCTCTTTTTCTCATTTACAGCTGCGATGCAAATTCTCACAACGGCTGCTTTTTTGGGACTGATGCGGTGGATTTAGTTACAGCAGCTTCAAAAACCTCACTCGGTGCAGACATAGATCTACCGATCGCAAACGAATCCAAAGAAACAGCCATCACTGATAAATGGTGCAAACTCAAAGCAGAGTCGAACAAGGCAGTCTCCGATTCAGACTCAAAACTAATTGATCCCATTGAGCTAGTGTGTAATTCAAATGATCCGGAACAACTTTTATCCTCCTTGTCTAAACTCACCTTAGATGGTACCAATAAAAGCAGCCTTTGGGATGACAATTATTATTTCTCGGATGTCGAGAGTGATTACGCTGCGCTGGAATTGGTCTTGCCTTTCAACACTTCGCCAAAGGAGTCAAGGATCGTAAATAGAAGCCCAGATACAAACCTGGAACCCGTAGTGGAAAAGAGCCACGAACTAGGCTACTTTTCTGACACGGAAGCTGTGTTACAAGCTCCAGCTTCCCTGAGCTCACCATCGGGAAATACTCCCTCAAAAGAGCAGCGACTTTGCGCTGATTTCCAATTTCCAAGAGTTAGTGACAAATTTTCCATTGCATCCTGCGTACCCATGGTAGCAACCCCAAAGCACATCAGCGGATCAGCTAATTCAATTGCCTCGTCAGCTCGCTCGCCTGATGCCCAAAGCGGTGTTAGAATTGAAAACTCTTCAACTCGGGGTATGCATCTGGCGACAGGTGAAACTAGATGGCCACGTTTAAAAAGTGCCAGAAGTTTCACCCATTCCATGTTCCGAGGAAAGCTGACGGCAGGGGAAATCAGTCTCACCGCTTCGGAATCTAAGTTGTACAAACCAATAAAGCCTGAACAACTGAAACTGCCCTATCCCATGGTCCCGGTGATGGGAAGTCGTGGGTTAAGTCCTCACTCACCAACAAGCCAGATGCGTTCCAGCGGTTCAGCGAACGCTTTAAAGATGAAAACAGTTCCTTCTGAAGCTGAAAAGGTGACGGAAAACCAAACGAACACTTCGGAAAGAAATTTATTAACCCCTGATATCTTACCGAGTAAGTTTTGAAGATGCAAATGTATAGATGGACGTATAATTCAATGCATTCGATATGTCATATAGAACATTCTGAGCGATTCATAGAGAACACCAGTCTGAGGCAAACCTTTGTTTTCAATGATTCATCTATGGGCCGGTACAAATAATATAGGTTAAAATACCAAGAAATGCATGGTGAATGGTTCAGAAGTGGGTTAATGGTTTGACAGCAGATAGTTGATCGCTGTCTTACGCACACACACAGCTCGACCCGGATTACGTAATCCCACTGAAGACCGGTGTCAGACTGACGGTTAAGTTGACTGTTAGTCAATCGCTCTGTCTACGTTGGCCGAGCAGCAGTCAACCTAACCGTCACTCTGACAGCTGTGCCGTTAGTGTGATTACGTAACCCGGATGGATCTTTGTGCGCGTGTGTGGGCACGTGTAAGACCATTGACTTACGTCTGAACGATTCGCCGTGCATTTCTGCGTATTTATGACTTATATGATGTGTACTGACCCCTGAATCATTGAAAACAATTGTTTGCCTCAGACTGGTGTTTTCCGTTCGTTGTGTTTTGATGAACGCATACTACTGCATACGCTACCGGTAGTTATAATCTTATGTAAAATAATGAATAAGCTAATGAATATAATACTGGATACCAAACTAGTTGTAAGCCGCATTTCTAGCCGAAGAAAAATTAACGCACAAAATAGATTTGAATTATTCTCCAACAGGCTTAAGATTATTTCCAACGAAATCAGCATCCCTTTGGTTGGACGATAAGCAAGCAAATTATAGCTTATTCAATAAATCTTTTGGTTTTCAAGTAGTTCAATACATCTATTCATACACTTAGACAGACAGCTAGTACATAGCTGGAAGGATATTTTGTGGCTGATTCATTTTTTCTGGAAACGTCGGCAGAGAGCATTCAATCTTACCGTGTGGAGCTCAAACCCGCAATCCGACTATTGCAACGCTGTGATTAAGACCACTGTGCTGTGGGGAACAGTAACGACCGAGGTGACAACGCTAGCAGATTTGATGTAACGGCGCTCACTATGAGTGACCTGTATGTTACTGCCATGCATAGGACAGAGTCCAAGGAGAACGCGCATTATTGTCGATTCCCGAAAAGATGAAACGGCCGCGTAGTGCTTGTCCAAACATGCGATGGTTGTCTGACAGAGTATAGACATGATAAGCGTCAAATTAAATGATTAAACTCTCCCTATTACCTCTTGTAATCATTGGGTTTTGTAGGAATTTACAGTAATTAATTGTGGCTTTAATGGGTGATAGGCCCTTGGTGAAACGTCACTCATAGCCCTGGATATGTGCACTTTTCATAGGGAACTGGAAGGTGGATGTCTCGCCAACATCTGCAAGTACTCGGATATGAGTTGACAATAAATGTTGTCTTAGTTTCTGCGACGTAGACACCTAGAAGTACCCGAAGGTCAGACCCATTTGGCACTACATTCGTGTGACATTCCGGTCGACCATAGTGTCAAATTACTAATCTGTTCACAGGCCACTTTTCAGTTAGTATTTTCGGAACAGATAGTATCCTCCTTCATGTTTACATTGTGGATCAATTAGCACTGTGGTTTAAATAGCGCGATGAGAAGATGAAAGCTGGTCGATGCCAACATTTTGTAGTGTCCTGTCAGAAATATGTATACATACTGGGGCAAGAACAAGACGGTAGGGAGGCATTGCGTTTATTACCAACGAACGGCAGCTTCACAGGTTGTCACGCACCCGCACACGCATTGAGGAAAATTTCAATCCACCATTGTCCCTTTGCACGGGTGTCACACTCATGCAACAAGTTAAGTCAATCCGTGAGGTCTTTTAGACTGATTTTCTTTCGCATGTTTGTTTCAGGGCGTCGTATTTTGACCAGGCTGGATTCGTTCTAATGCTCTTGAATATCTTACCCGAGACTGCGTCGCTTTTCTTGGGGTTATTCCTGGAGGAGTGGGTAAAGGCCTATCTCACCGAAAATTCGGGCTCATCATCACTACGTCCCCTCTCTTCTCGGTATTAGCTCGTTTGTTGCCCGTAGACCATTTCCAGCTTGCTTCGGAGGCCTCGATTTGCTTTGTCGACTTTCGTTCCTGGTGCTGTCAGCCTTCCGGTTTCTTAGTTTCCGTGACTTGTCCGTTTCGCCTGTGATTTTTGCCTTCTGCGCCACTACAATGTGAATACAGCTAGGGACTGAAAGAACGGGATATAGGCACTGGTAAAGATCAAAATTAACACATCCAAGTCAATGTGACACTGAGGCTTAGGAACTGCTGTTTTCATGCACTGAATGCGCGCTTGATCGGGCTGATCGCAGCACAGCAATTTGAAAATGGCTAAACCGGGCTTCTCTTGTTCCGTGATAACTTTCAAAAGGGTTAGAATTCATCGTGCTTATAAATGAAAATCATATCTAATTCTGCATTCGTGTTCCTCAAAATTAAAGGAACAGTACTACAGACTATCAGTTACCTTCTGTGATTTTACGGATGTACATTCTCTGTAGGCGCAGGCGCATTCTTCGCTAAAGGTCCAATTCGGTGGAGGAGATTTTGTTTCCAGACTGTTTGCAAATTAGTCGTCCACCCGTCCGAGCCCAAACTAGCAATGGCTAGTAGTACAGTCTCGACCATCGGTATATGTATAAGTTAATGCTGTGAAATATTTGTTCAGTTTAGTATTACATGCCTTTTTATGGCACAGATTCGCGTTTTAGCGTAAATTGCCCATTGTTTTTCCAGCCGGAGGAACAACTCAGTGGCCCGAAGCGGTGAGTGATTTGTGCGGATATGTCAAGGTGTATCGTGTTATGAATACTTTAACGCTTTACATTACAATGCACATCACTTCAAGCCGTAGTGAGTGAAATTTATTGTATCAAAATGCTGACTCAGTCTTCGATTCCCCTTTCAATACTGGTGTGTTTTAACTTTCAACTGATGATAGTGATGTCAGAAGAAATAAATCCAAAGCAATGTTCAGTATTCAGGTGGTTACCGAAAGTTTCCATAAAACACTCATCTATCATCCAATCAATACTTTTCCATGATACATGGCAATTATATCCATACGTACCGTCTCCTGTAAGGTACACCAATTTGACCTCTGAGTCACGGTGATTTGTTATAAGTGATGGTATCTGGAGTCTCTTCGGTGAGCGAATTATAAACCATTGGTACCGTACAAGTTAGATACGGTCCACGAAGGTTTCGCCGGTAGTCAACAGCCAGCAGTAACGGCTTTAAACTTTGCATAGTTTTGTATGCAGCGAAATGGATACCACGGAGCCATCAGCTATATTACATAAATCAAGACTGAGGAAACAGTCCTGCAGTTAGATGGCTAGTGTGTCCATATATATATATATATATATATATATATATATCAGAAAGTAAGCGTAAAATCCTACGGTTTAGATACAAAACCACAATTAGTACGGCCACAGAGGTACTTAAAATGCTAGATGACGAAGCAAGGGTAAGAACAGCTGTAGCCGGTTCAAATCTGTCAGATCTTCGAGGCGCAGTGACCATTCTACTGGTGGCTACCGAAAGTATAATGTGGACACGGGATTCCTCCACGGTATTGTTTGAGCGTGACACAAATATGTTGTGCAGGAGACTTCTGAACCGGTTGCACCCAGATAGCAACTTACGAAGGACACAAAGCTTCACTCCGAGTCTGACACGTTCACATACCAAGCAACATTGGCCTCTGGTTACTCGAAAATGATGGGATGATCAATCGAACGTCCAAGAATGAGTGAGGCTCAGCAAATACCTCTACAACTCGCGGTTCCATACCACCCGCTAATCACCAACTAATGCAGATCTCATTGACAAGCTACTTGAGGAATTGCTTAAGTGTGCTCACGTAGTAAAAAGACACTTTCGCAAATAAGATCAACCCATTAGAGCAAGTTGATGATGCAAGTTATAACACGTACTTGCACCTAACCGATCAGAGCTGCCAATGAAACACTATGCAGAAACCGACTTATGGTTTGAATCAATAAGAAGCGATGATGATAATGTACAGCACGCCCTACGTAGTACTGCGGCAGTTCGCATCTTCCACACGGTAGTTCACGGACAAATTGAATCAGATGAAGAAAAATAAAAGATCCAGAATTAGTTATACAGAACACCTGGTATCAAACGGCTATTTGCTACTTTGCGAATCCAGGTTCGTTGTATTTGTGCTCTTTCTGGATGTCCGTTGATCTGGAAAGATGTGGCACACCGCGGTTATCGTCCCTTACCGATCTTTCATATCTATGTTTTGTTTTTATAAGACAACATGTTTAACGTAGCATGCTATACAGGTCTCTAATTTAAAACAAGAAACTCTGCTCACAGCAGCCTTAACGTGATAAGTAAACTTCCTGTGAAACAGCCAGTTAGTGTAAGGTTTGACGTTCTCAAACCGGTGTGACTTTCAAGGGACATCGATCGTATTTTACTAATATCACTATTTCAGTTCACTAAGCTACAGTACAGCTAACAAGAGACATAAACCAGTATTGAAATACTAGACTCATATTTTGCGATAGCAAATGATTAACGCCACACCTTTACTTGCATACAAAAGCGGAACTAGGTCATTCCTGGGACCGTTAGTTATGTATGGTTTTGTCTGCCCGAAGTTTTGTGGTTCCGACAGACAATTCAATGCCCTTAGTTCGAGTGCCTGATGAGATCATACAACTTCGATACCGGTGCAGAGTTTTTGGACAGGCAACACCCAATATCCGTTTACCCGTAAATACGACTTGTACAATTAGCTAGCATCTTGGGTACGTCGACAAAATTTCCACAGCAGCCTCATAAAGCTGGAGATTCAAAATAGAAACATTCCGGATCCACATTCACTTGACCCGAGTACTTTCGACCATAGCCCTTGTTGAGTTGATTTCTTTTGGACATTGGTATTCAAGTTCCATCACTCGGCTGACAAGAACTTCGTGAAGACTATTAACACAGCATGCAGACAAACCTCACTTACGGCTTAACAGCACATCCTAAAGCATTTTGCAGCTTTCTGTTTGGTCTTTTGGATTGAACAGAATACGGTTGAGAGCTTATGGGCTGTAAATGTTTAACTCCAATTTTCACTAGTTTTCCATCCATAGTTTTAAACCTGCGGACTGTTAAGTGGTATGGGGCGTTTTATTTTAGGCACTGCATTGAATTTCATGTGACTGCCTATTTCTGACCATTTCTAGACTCTGTTTGTCTCAGATAGGTTCTATATTTTATTAGCCGACTACGGTCAACTGCGCTGCGAGAGCCCAGAGCCCAGTTCTCTGATTTTGCCGAAACATGCAAACCAGGGACAGCAACAGCAACGTGTCTCAACTGGGGGTAACAACTACTTGCTAAGACGGTTGGAGGCTACTCAGTAACAAGATATAAGGTCGTGTTTAGGCCTTAGACCAACTGCTAAGAGAACTACGCTATATCTCAGCTAGTGCGGAGATCTCCATCTATTCTCTCAATCGTGAAGACGAAATTACGAGTTCTTAATGGAAGATGAAAACTTCATTGGTTATGCTCTCCGATATGGCTGTAATGAGGTTTACTTTACTGCCTCAAGCAAACTAAAGTTATGGTCATTTCCTACCACTAGCTATTATTCCTTGTCTGTAGTCCAATTAAGTTAAGAATGCGTTTAAAAGCACACATGACGGGTACATTCTCAGTCGTGGTGAACCACATAGCGATATTACCATTATATATCACCCCAAAAATACACTAAGCTCCTCAGCAAGATAACAATTTAGGCATTGAATTCACATTTATTTTCCAAAGAAATTTACTCGGAAAGAATCTCGCTGCATATCGAGGTGACATTGATGACCTGAAGCAGAAAAGATGCATTGATGGTCATTAATCATTCCCCTCCAGTTAATGACCACAATTTGTCAGCAACCATTTGTCACACCCTGGTTTCATTTTCAGGTTGAAAGTCTTCGTTCGGAACTTCGCCAAATGACACAGCAGCTTACAACACTAACTTTTCAGCTGACGAGAAAAGTAAGTTGTTTGTTAAGAAAATCGTTACGCATTTTCTTTCACTGTGCATACGTCGTCTCGTTTGATTCATGGTGATCAAAAGTAACACTAGATATCTCTCTCGTTCGTTCTTCCCATCTTTTAGAGTGTGCTAAGACAGCAACTAGAAGGGCCTGTAAATCTCCAGTAATCACAGCAGAAGCTCCTGAGATTATGCCTATGCAACATGAAATATGCAGGAAGTACTAGTAGATGTAAAATCCCATATTGCCAAGACTGTGTTGGTGCCCCAGAACACATCACGTTGGGCACCTATAGTGAATGAGTGGGGAATTCACAAAGCCAGTGGATGACGCAAGCGCTGGGATATTACTGATTCTGTGCGTGTGTGTGTGTGTATGGGTGTGGGTGGGTGGAAAGCTGCCGTCATGCCAACTTCCAAGAGTGCATACCTCGTATTCGGATCAACACATCGGATACACCGAAGCTGCTAGGCTGCTTGTGGCTTAGTGATTACTATCCCGGCCTCCACTGACTGACTCAATTAGTTTGAGCGTTCTTATAAATGGAAGGGTCTAATGGATGCATTCTTAACCACTGACTAGAAGGTGATTACTTTGGTGCTGAACCCTCACGGGGTGTACGCAATGTGCATCAGTGACTAGTCAGAAACAGCATAAACCATCGGACTTGTAGTGCTTGAGTGTGTAGGCTCGTTGCGTTTCAAGCCGACATTATGTACCTCCCAATTTCCACAATATTTGAAGGGAGTGTTGTTCGCAACCTTGAAATCCCAAAAGCCTCTTTAATGAAACATGCTACCTAAAGCTTGCGTTGTGTTTCCCATAAAAATGATCTACATTTGTTACACTTCCAGGTATATTGGAGGTCAAATTAGTGCAAATATGCTTCTGTCACACGGGAAGGATGATCATACTACTAGCGCAGAGAATGTCAAAGCCTTTCGATGGCGAATCACCGAAATAACTTACATCGATTTCCTGTCCGACATCGACAGCTATGTGATAGGTTTCATCACTTGAAGCTGTGAGCTTACGATCGCCGCTTGCACATGTGGTTTCCGCAGATTTACCTATAGGCACAGGTATAATATACATGATATCTGTGACTAACAAAGTAACACCGCGTAGTCACATTCGAAAAGGCTTGTGCAGTGAAAATAAAAATACGATTTTATTCAGCTAATACATCATCGTCACTCCCAATCAGCAGGCTTAGGTTAGTCTGGGAAAACATCAGACAGCGATGTTTCGACATTCTGTGTCGTTTTAGTGGTGCACCTCCCCGTGTACCCCTGCCGGGTTCCGACCCCCATGACTTCAGGATGCCAGCAGTTAGTGCCACTCCGCCAAGGGTGACATCCACGGAACTGCGTGGTTGACAGTTGACTATGATATAACCCGGCTCATGTTCTATTGTCATGCCAGTTACGAAGTTTGCAGAGGACACTGGCTAGCCTCACGAGCTAGGACGTTCGACATAGCGCCTATACACGACATAAGACTTAAGAGATGAGCCGGGCTATATCATAGTCAACTGTCAAGCACGCAAGTCCATGGCTGTCACCCATGGCGAAGTAGCACTAGCTGCTGGTATCCCGAGATCATGGGGCGGAACCCGTCAGGTGTACGCGGGAGGCGCACCACTGACCAGACTCAGAAGGTCGAAACGCCGGTGTCCGGTGCTTTTCCAGACTAACCTAAGTCTGCTGAGTGGGAGTGACGACGATGACTAAGCTGTGATATATCAAAAGCCTCATTTCTACTTATCTGTAATATAAAATCTGTCCGTACGGCTTTTAAGTCCTAGGTCGTACCTAGGCGTTTTGCCGAAAGTCCTAGCTCGTGAGGCTAGCCAGTGTCCTCTGCAAACTTCGTAACTGGCATGTCAGTGAAAGATGAACCGGGCTATATCATAGTCACCTGTCAATCATGCAGCTCCATGGCTGCGTAAAATGGTTTTCTGTTATTTTGATACATCTCATCGCAGTCTCCTTCCAGTTAGACAGGTTCCCACACGCCAGGAAAAGCACCATATTGCCGTTTCGGACCATTTGGTCACGTCTGGGGTGCGCGTCCCTGCGACCCCTGTCGGGTTCCGATCCCATAACTTTCAAATTACAGTTGATGGTACAACTAAGCCCATGAATGATAGGGGCGGAACTGCGCCAATAAAAGCTGGCTAGGATACAGCGCGACTCATCCTTCACTGTCATTACAGCTATGAAATTGGCAGAGGGCCTTGGTTGCCCCCAGAGCTACGACCTTCCGCTTAGCTACTGCGCACGACACAGCACATAGGAGCTATAAGGAGGGATTTTGGCTTACTAATGAATAATGGGGAATTTGCGGTAATTTTAGATGTATTTCTTTTCATCCGGATGTTAAAGGATCGGAATCCGGCAGGGGTCCGAGGAACGCGCAAAACAGCCGGACCCAGTAGGTCAAAGCAAGTGCTTTACCAGAAGTGTGGGAACCTACTTGACTGAGAGGGGACTGCGACGAACTATACCTAAATCCCCACTACCCGTTAGTAAATTTATATTTACTAACAGGCTGTATACGAACGCTAAGTGGGCGCGATCAGTTGTACACAGAAGTGGTGATGTGACATCTTGGCTTACAACCAAATAATAATAAATACTAATTAAGTTCGGACTATAAAGGTTTCACAGATCAGCGACCCATCGCTGACGGTGTATTCATATAGTACGAACATTTTACCACTGTTTTCAAAGTTATTTTGCAGCAAAACTCCGGAACAGGCAATTTTAAGGTATCGGATATTGGGTGGCACAAGTTTTATTGTCTGGGTAATGGTAAAGAAAGCGTAAGCTGATTGCGGGCGTTAATCTGTTCATATGTTATTCAGTATAGATTTCGTTAGTGTTTCTGGAGATTGAAGTGTGCCAAATGTCTTTAAGGTCAAGCGTCTTTGCTCAGGAAATTGCATCCATAGTGATTTCGAATTCCTCATTAAGGAAGTCGTGTTTCTCCATAGATTTCTCAAGACGGTTCGGAAAGCTGTCAAATGCATCTAATTGGTGTGCATGACTTTAAATGCTACTCTTTGTTGAGTGACCAATCCCAAATCAGCCGTTGGCGTCACAGATAAGTTTAGCCATGGGATGTTATTCGCTGATTTGGGATTGGCCACTTAGTGAACAGTGGCGTTTTGGAGCATTGGCACCCGCTGGATACAAGTTGTTAGCGGTACGGATCCTCTTACAGATCTATGGAAAAACAAGATTTCCTTAATGAGGGATTCGGAAGGATCATGGATGGAGTTGTCTGAGAAATGGAAGTCTTCGCAGTGGGGCTGAAATTTAGTTCATCAAACAACGCAGTGGGCAGATTCATTTACAGACAGAATTCGAAAGTTTCATGCAACAGCTAACTGCATTGATTCCCACGTCTCCCCACGTCAAACACAAATTCAAAAGCACTTTAGTGCACCTTTCTAAGCAGTGCCTGCTCCACAAGTCACAATTATCGAAAATGATCACTAGTGAGCATCGGAAAGCTGTAAAGGAACAAAGATCTAATCCTGACATTGTGCCAACCCGGCCGGATAAGGTGTTGGGTTAGTTACTGATGGATAGCTTCGACTACTTGGAGAAGATACATGCCAGTCTGCAATCTACGACAAAATCCTCGTCTGTACGGATTACCGAAAAGGCATAAACCCAACTTGCCACTGAGTCCTATCATCGATATCTCGGGCTCAACGGTGCACTCATTTGCTAAATGGCTTGTAAGGTTGCTTGAGCTTCTACGCATAATATGAGTGCTTCATTTAAATTTATTAAAGAATTGGAAGACTTCAATTTGAAAAAAACATTGATGCTTTTCTTTGACTTCGAATCGCTTTTCACAAATGTTCCTTTGCTTGAAAATGGACTGTATTCGCGAGTACATAGCTGATATTGCTATTGAAATCCCTGTGCAAAAGACTAAAGTCTTATTTCTACGCCGTACCACTAACAACCAGTTATTATTCGACGGAAAGTACTATCGACAAATGGATGGAGTTGCTATGGGATCGCCATTAGGGCCGCTTCTTGCCGATTTCTTTCTCGCACAAATCAAGCATAGCCCTATCCGACACAATATCAATTCTCTTCATCTCTATCGGCGGTATACTGATGACATATTCATCCTGTGTGACTTCCACCTCGATCCCTCTGGACCAGTTTAACCAAGCGAGTTCATCGGAAAAATTTACTTCCGAACTGGAGAATACGGTGAACTTCCGTTTCCGGATGTTTGGTTGCGACGTCAAATCGATGGCTCACACAACAGAAGAATCTTCCGTAAGACAACCTGGGTGGGAAAGTACACGCATTTTCTTAGTTTTATACTTATTGTATACAAGAGAAACCTGTTGCGTTGTTTGTACTCTCGGGCTGCCAGCATTTACAGTACAGAACCGCTAGAAGCTGAAAGAGAATTTATTCGCAAGAAGCTGCACAGCAACGGGTATCCTGCTGCGTTTATCAAAAAGCATTCCGCTGTTTTTGATCAAATTAAAGCAATGAACAATGAACAGTAAATTTATACAGGTTAAGAAGCGTTGCTTTAAAAATCCCGTTGGATAGTTGCTGGGGATGTCAACATAACAATAAAGATGATAAGGATAGTTAAATAGTTACTACTTTAAATATGAAAATAAGGACTTATCCTTTCGTCCGCTGTAGTCGTGCGATCCTCTTAGATTCACAGCACCAACAGTTAACAACAAATAATTCCATGGTAAACTCCAGGTGTAGGATGGAGACGTAGTGTTAAGTAACAAAGTTTAAGTGGATGAATGCATCGTCCAACCGTCTTTTAACTACTCTTAGTGTCGGTACAGAGACGACCGATTCTGGGAGAGCATTCCACGGGTGACAGATCCGAATGGAAAAGAAATTTCTGCGGCACCCCAGACGACTGTATTGTTTTGCGAGTATTAGTGAGTGGCGATATCGATTGCAAGAAAGAAGGATGTTTACCTCTCAG